AGTTGTTATCAGGATGGAGGAAGAGGTAGAAGGTAAGCGTCAGCAGTAATCTGTTTTCACTTGGCCACGCTGCTCTATTCAGCAATTAAGGTGACCTAGCTGATGACACTGCGCGACAGCCTATGTGGCATGAGAGGGCTGTTAGCTAGAGCTATTTTAGTTGTACACGAGCAGGGATACCGGCAGGGTACCCAGATCTACCAGGAAGACGATTAGGGTCCTTGACCGAAAAACCAGACCACAATGTAGCGGTGTTTGGCGGGTAATGCAGGTGCATTACCATTTAACAATTCGCCACACATGTTCCAGTCCGTCAACTTAGTGGGCCAGGGCTCTGTGCTGGTCGAACCTCTAATTATTGACCAACTTAGTATGAGGCTCTGCGAGTTCCGCCAGGAACCCCCCTTATTTAACCCAGTGGGGCACAGGGGCACACAATCTGTCCAGTCTCTTCGGGAGGAGTGTCTAATTACCATGCAGCCCGAAAGAAACGCGAGGGCTGGTATACCGCCAGGTTGCTGGGGCATTTTTTTCAAAGGCCGACAGTTCGGCGAAGAGCAGTTGAATTGTTCAGGGTACTCACGGTCACCATAGGTATAAACACCTTGGATTGTGGTAGAATATCCTTAGCCCCCCGTGCGCCATCTTTTTCTTGCCATTTTAAATCTTCAATCAAAAAAGCTTACATGCCTGTGCGGCAGTGAAGCACCAGTGTTCACATCTGGTGTCAATGAAATTACCATGAGCCCGAAAGAAACGCGAGGGCTGGTATACCGCCAGGTTGCTGGGGCATTTTTTTCAAAGGCCGACAGTTCGGCGAAGAGCAGTTGAATTGTTCAGGGTACTCACGGTCACCATAGGTATAAACACCTTGGATTGTGGTAGAATATCCTTAGCCCCCCGTGCGCCATCTTTTTCTTGCCATTTTAAATCTTCAATCAAAAAAGCTTACATGCCTGTGCGGCAGTGAAGCACCAGTGTTCACATCTGGTGTCAATGATGTTTCAGGTTTTCTACGCAGCTACCCAAACTTTCTTTGCAGGACATCAGATAGCCCTAATGGTCCTGAGCGGTTTCACTGACAAGAAGTTTACGAGGACGTATCAAATGAATCAAGTGGGACTCCCTGCGAATATTTGCTGCGTTTTGCTACTGTTTTTTGGTTTTCTGGAGGTGCCAAGCTCTCAGGGCTGCTTTTGCCAACCTCCGACACCTATGGCGCCAGCGTGACGTCAGTCTGTTTGTCAATGACAGAGGTATAGGCTCTACGCACAACGGATATGTGGAAGATATCAGTGTTTGACCATCCTTGTATCCGAAGCTTTGGTCAAGCCTGGTGGGGACATCAGATTAGTAATATCGAAGTATGTTAAATGGTCTTAGGAAGAATTAACTTTCCCGCGATAGATGAATTACTCACGAAGCTTTGGCCTGGTGGGGACATCAGATTAGTAATATCGAAGTATGTTAAATGGTCTTAGGAAGAATTAACTTTCCCGCGATAGATGAAATGAATTCGCTTCGTAGGTTACTCTGGTTATGACATTCACTCCGCATTGCGGAAGACCATGTGCCTCGCAGAGCTCTTTTCGCCCAGTCCTGTGCTTAGTGGAAACGACCGAGACGTGGACAGTGTATAATCTGAAAACAAAGTATGAAAACACTAACAAGTAAACTTGGATAGACAGCAGCTACCTCGCCGGATGGCAGAAATGTCTCAATCGCGCAATTAGTGGCGCTCGTGCATCAAAGCTATCACCTTCACTGCGTAGCCACTCAGCTCCCGAAGTAATTAAACACACCATCGCCGTCTTTTGATTGATGGATGTCCGTGTAGCCTTAGTTCTTGATCCCTCCGCCGCGAACCCTGTTCATTTGCCTTCACAATGAGTCCCGTTTCCTGGTTCAATCAAAACACAAGTCAACCAGTAGAAATGTTTGCCCAAATGGCCAAT